CCATATTTCTCGAGACTAACTCTTTAGGGAGTAGAATGTCCCATATTTCTCTAGTGGATCAGCTGTTGTTTTGGAACTGCTGACCTTACTGGTTAGTCTAATACATACCCACTTTGCCACCAGGGCTCCTTATATGAGGATTAGAGGACATTTTATAACTTTTTAAAAAAAGTAATGCTTTAATTACATAAATGTGAATAAATATGGAATATATGTGCTTAATTGGCTTTAAAATATAAAAGGTTTAGAGATAAATAATGCTTGAGAAAAAATTAAATAAACATGAAAAGCATATTTTCTTGAAACTTGAGTTAATGGAAACATTCATATGGTGTAAATGCAATGAGCTCATAAAGGGCAAACATCCCTGACATATTTCCGGCCATTTGAGGTGCCCATTTGAATTTGGGCTGAGATTCATTATAGTCAATGGATTGAAAATTGTCTTTTTAAAAAAATTTTTGGAACTTTGTTTGATGGGATCTATAGTCAGTCTTCTACATATGGTGTACATTGGGTTAAAAAGCCTGGGAAAATTTTCCCTCTGTAGACTTAGTTATCTGTGGCATATTGCCAACTGATGGATATCATGATATACGATTCGGGATCTCAGAATTCTGTCATTGTAGACTTGCCTGATATTCATACAAATCCCATTTCCCACATCTGGAATCATGGCTTTAGGAAAAAGTTTCTCAAGTATGAACAAAAGATGAGAAACAGCAGCAATCCCTGGCAACTTGTTATAAAGCACATTTTAGAGGCCCAACCCACATGAACTGAATCAAAACTCTGTATTTTCACAGGTTTTCCAGGACATTCTGATACAAGTTGAAATTTAAGAGCCATTGCTCTTGTACAAATGGAAAAAGAGCAGCCAAATGAACTGATAGCCACCAGAATAAGAGTGCTGATAAAGAGTAGAACAGAAATAGATCAAATAGAAAACAACAGAAAGAATCAACAAGACAAGAAGTTGGCTCTTCAAAGGGATTAACAAAACACTAGTGCATCTTACGAAGGGAAAGAAGAAGATCCAAGTAATATGAATAAGATATGAAAGAGGCAATTTCACAACTGAATCAACATACATAAAAAGAAAAATAACGGAATAGGAATAAAGGGACTCCAACAAATTTGAAACTCTAGACGAAATGGATAAATGCATATGAACTTACTACTACCTAATTAGCACAAACTGAGGCAGAAGATTTGGACAGACCTGAACAAAACAAAAAAAGAAGAAAGAAATTGAACAAACCATTAAAAATCCCCCCACATAAAAAGAAAGTCGGCCCAGACAGCTTCACAAATGGTGGATGCTCACAAATTTTCAGAGACAAGCTGTCATCAATTCTCCTGTGGATAAGGAACCAAGGACAAGGATGCACTAAGATGGATCAAAGTGCTAAACAGAAACTCTAGAATATTAGTAGCATTACATCATCAAGAAGCGTATCTCTAAAGTGCATAGAAAAATTCAACATCTCAGTGAGATATAGGCCAAAGAATCAAATTTTAAAATGGGCAGAAAGTATGAAGAGACATGTCACCAAAGAAGACATGTTGGTGAACAACTATGTGAAGAAATGCTTATGATCGTTAAACTTTCCAATAGATGCAAAGCAAAACAGCGGTTTCTCACCTCACCTCAGCTTTCATAGCAGAGTCAGAAAACCAGAGGACAGTATACACTGCAAAGGGTCTGGAGAAACGGGCGCCCTCATACACTGCTGCTGGGGCTGTAAAACGGCGCAGCCCCTGGGGAAAGCAGTGGGGTGCTTGCTCCAGAAGTTGGGGAAAGCAATATCATATGACTTAGACTTCTTATATGACATATACATGTACATATGAAGTATGTGACACATACTTCTTAGAGATGCTAGAGGAATAAGAGTCTTGACACATACAGATGCACTCACACATATTAGTTGAAGCGGTAGTCCCAAGAGCAAGAGGATGCAAACAGCCTAAATGCCCAACAGTGGAAGGCTGGATTAACACACTCTGGCATAAACACATAATGTAATATATGCAATGGAGCAGAATAACAATACATCTGTGAAGCAGCTCATAACACAGATGAACCTGGAGGACAGTATATGGAAGGAAATCAGTCAATCACAAAGGAAAACATTGTGCGAGATCCCTGTTTTGTAAAATCAAGAAAGGTCTTCACACTGAAAGAAACATTCTTTGATGGTTACCAGGATGGGAAGGAACAGAAAAAGGGAAGTAATAGGCTTTAGGGTAGGCAAATGGTCATTTGTGATTTTGAGGGAATTGCAACAAATGAGACAAAGCAAAATATGTATGAATTATTGAATGTAAAACTGATGGTCTGCCCTGTAAGCCATCACCCAATTCATAATAAAAAGTAAAAATGTAAATGCAAAACACAAAT